TCGAAGGATGTTCATCTATCATGGGGAGGAGGCTTTGAATGTTTAAACGCAGAAATCCCAAAGCTTTACGACAGCAAAAGCAATCAAAGGTCATTGTCTTCATGGAAGAAGCTAAAGAGGTAAGAAGTGTTTGCCTCGGAGTGATGTCAGCTAGATGTAATTTGGTCACACTAAAAATGAACTATTAGCTCGCATTAAGCCTTTCTTATCCTCAGGTGTGTAATCTAGTCCAGTTACTCAGCTCTATAGTAGCCCAGATTACAGCAGGAAGTGGATCACATGTTACTGAGGTCACACATTCAGAGATTTTGGGCAGCTTGAAGCACACACACTACTTTCTACGTTTTAGCGTAGACCAGAGATCCCAGACCAGCACCAGTAGACCAGTGGACCCAGACCAGCCCCAGTAGCCTAGAGGTCCCAGACCAGCACCAGTAGCCTAGAGGTCCCAGACCAGCACCAGTAGAGCAGAGGACCCAGACCAGCACCAGTAGACCAGTGGACCCAGACCAGCACCAGTAGACTAGAGGTCCCAGACCAGCACCAGTAGACCAGAGGACCCAGACCAGCACCAGTAGACCAGAGGACCCAGACCAGCACCAGTAGACCAGTGGACCCAGACCAGCACCAGTAGACCAGAGGTCCCAGACCAGCACCAGTAGACCAGAGGACCCAGACCAGCACCAGTAGACCAGTGGACCCAGACCAGCACCAGTAGACCAGAGGTCCCAGACCAGCACCAGTAGACCAGAGGACCCAGACCAGCACCAGTAGACCAGTGGACTCAGACCAGCACCAGTAGACCAGAGGACCCAGACCAGCACCAGTAGACCAGTGGACTCAGACCAGCACCAGTAAACCAGAGGTCCCAGACCAGCCCCAGTAGACCAGAGGTCTCAGACCAGCCCCAGTAGACCAGAGGTCTCAGACCAGCACCAGTAGACCAGAGGTCTGTGCAGTGTAACCTGGTGGTCAGCGTTTTCTTTCTGAGCAGCGTTGACAGCAGAAGATGCTTCTCGGTGCTGTTGAACCCCATGTTTGCAGGTCTCTGGATAGAGATTTATATCATGAAATATGGAAGCATCTAAAGCGCCACCGGCAGCATACGCTAGCCTGTTCATGCAACGACACTATGGTTTTCTGAGCAGGGTTCAAAAAGCGATCATTGCAGCTGAAAGTGCGTTTGATGGAGGCGTCTACTTGACTTAACCAGGCATCACCGGGCAGCAGTAGCTCAACAGGTTGAGCGGGTTTTCCAGTAATCAGAAGGTTGCAGGTTTGATCCTGGCTCCGGACAGAGAATTCTGCTGTTGTGTCCTTGGGCAAGACACTTAACCCATCTTGTCACTTTGACTAGTCGTTGATGATGTCATACACCTGAAGCGGGTTGGTTCGCTGGAGTTTTTGACAATTAAAATTGCGTCCACATTTTCAAAGGTAAACACATCTCTTTTAACAACGGTAGTTTCTGCATCCTGCCTCAACCCCCTCCCCCCTCCCCCTGCCTCAGCCCACTCCCCCCTCCCCTGCCTCAGGCTTCTCCCCCCTCCCCCTGCCTCAGCCCACTCCCCCCTCCCCTGCCTCAGGCTTCTCCCCCCTCCCCCTGCCTCAGCCCTCTCCCCCTTCCCCTGCTTCGGCCCTCTCCCCCCTCCCCCTGCTTCAGCCCTCTCCCCCCTCCCCCAGCGCAGCGGCCGCAAACTCACTGATGCGCCTGCAGCCTCTCGGAGTTCCTGCTGCTCTAAACATTAAAATAATTATTTCATTTTCTGTTCCTCACTTCTGATTACCTTCAATGGTTTCTGTTTGTTGCAACCAGCAGGTACAAAAACTAACTTGTTTTTATGTGACTATTTTTCTGTCCTGCCTGTTTATTATCTTCCTGCATCTCCTCTCAATCCTAAAGAGAAATTGCTACCTGGGTTCATATATATTCACCTTATTAGTTACCTTTGAACTGCAGTTCTAAAAGATCTACCGACCGCAAAAACAGCCGAGTACTCGCCGGCCACACCGGTGAGGTGCTTCACCGGAGGACAAAACAGGTGATGCGCCCCGCTCCACAGCAGCGAAAAGCATCAGGCACAAATGAAAGAATAAAAGACAGAAAACATAAAAGGAAATGAGCCGACATGAACGATCGCGTGTTAAATTAGTTTTTGAGGTGGCGACATGATAACGTTACTGTGGCCGTGCTCAGGACGCAGATGTCTGGAGCGATCAGAGCTTTGCATACACAAGCTGGTTAAGGTTAGGATGGGGGTGAGGGGAAGGTAAAATTGCAAGAGGGTAAAGGTCACAATTTGGTTAAATGTCCGTTTTACGGCGGGTGTCAGTACCGACGCTCTGGCACAGCGCGTCGCCTCCCGACGCACAGGGGCTCATCACCTGCTGTCTTTTCCGAGGGCTGCATCTTGTCGGTCATTATCACGTGACAGCGACTAGTCGATGACAGGCATAACAAGTCACTACAGAGCGGTGAAGTTGACTAGTTCATACAACCCCTACCCAACACACTGAAAAAGTGGCTGATTGAGTGTCAGATCACAGCTCACTTATTTTATTTGGGATTGCCCACCAGACATCAGCAAAGAGGCCGTTAGTCACCATGGAAACCAAACACCGGGGTAATCAGAGCTCTAATTATGGGGCAGGCAGACGCTGCAATCAGATGAGTGAAGAGCAGCTAAATCATCATCTTCAGTCAGAGGAAACATCTCTTACACAAATAGCATTCAGAACCCATCAGACCACGTCAGCCATTCTTCCGTTCTTACCTGTGTGTTTCAGCGTGAAATGAAGCTTACTGTGTTTATTTTCCTCTTTTTTCTGATTCTGATATTTTGTTAAAAAGCTTCAGGAGGAACAAAACCAACGATGGAGCTCCAGTGAGCTGGTGGTGTTTTTCATAACAATCAGAAACTCAACTTGAGGATTCAGTCGGTTCCTTTCTGACATTTTCATCTCTAGGTGGCAGCAGAGGTCCCGAGCCAGCTGTGCCTAAAGATGAAAGAGCAGCTGAACACCAGTTGGGTCCCAGCCCCCTGTGGCCCACTTGTATTTAAGACCCACCATAAAAGTGGTGAATAGCTGCTACATGAGCCTGGGGGTCTAAATAAAGGCAGGAACATTGATGCTTGGAGTTGGACATAAGCTGTATGGAATTGTATCACTGGACTCATGCCACAGTACGAATATCATTAAAAACAAGGTGTTTTGTACTTTAAATGTTTCCCTAATTTTACAAATATTAGGCCTTAAAAAGGTGAACGCTCGCAACCATCCTGGTGGTTCTGAGAGCTTTTCTCCACTGAGTAGTAGTTTCAGTAAAGTAAGAATAGTGAAGCTAGGGTGTACCTCAGGGCACCATCCTTGGTCTATGTCATTCACATCAGAGCCTGGGCACTTTACTCCTCCCTGACTTTAAATAAGGGTGTTTCTTCTGTCTGCCATCATCTTGCCTTCAGAGTGTGCCAGCATCAATCATTCAAACCATCCATCTTTTCTGCTTCCACTGTGCGGGATTGTCATACTCACGTCAACACTTTGATTGAATTAAGTTAAAAAGAAGCTTTTAGTGACACATTCAGTCCACAGAGCTGAAATCTGAGCCTCCTGTTATCGGCTCAGTGGTCACATGCACTCCAACAAACGGCCTGCTTTCTTGAGCTGCTTTTAGGATGTGTCTGCACACTGCATCAATATAAAACCATTCAGACCATTCTCAGACTTTACCGTGATCAACAAAATACTAACGTTACATTAAGGTAGTGCACAAGAGTAAAGTCAGCAGAACACTTTTAGCACAACTAGACAACAACAAACCAGAGGGTGAAGGTTCTGACATGAACTTTTAGACTTTTAAAGGTTCTGGAGTTAAATCCAGTTGGGCTCCGGAAATTAACGTGATCTTTATGTGAATCCAGTCATCTCTCCAACACACACACACACACACACACACACACACACACACACACACACACACACACACTTGCATACATGCAAGCACTCTCACACATGCACTCACACGCAACTGCCCGCATGCACGTATGCACACACCCACACACACCCACATGCATGCGTGTATGCACGCACACACACGCACACACCCCCCCCACATACATGCATACATGTATGCACACACACACACCCACACACATGCATGCACGTATACACACACAAACACACGTGCATACATGCATGCACACACTCCTGCACACATGCATGCATGCATGAATGCACACACACCTACACACACACATGCACGTTTGCACACACACACACACACACACGCATGCATGCACATATGCACACACACCTACACACATGCATGCACATATGCACACACACCTACACAAATGCAAACACGTATGCACACACACAAACATGCATGCATGCATGCTCAAATGCACACACATGCATGCACGGTTGCACACCCACACCCACACACATGCATCCATGTATACACACACACAAACAAACATGCATGCATGCACAAATGCACACACACCTACACACATGCATGCACGGTTGCACACACACGGTTGCACACACACACACACACAACTACACACATGCACGCACGTATGCACACCCACACCCACACACATTCTTGCACGTATGCACACACACACATACACACACACATGCACGTATGCACACACACACACACACACACACACACACACACACACACACACACACATGCATGCACACACAGACAGTCTGAATTCTGGAGATGGAAAACCTCAGAAAACCCATGCACCTTGTTATTCTGGGCTTTATTCCAACAAATATAACTGTAGATCTCTCTCTCTCTCTCTCTCTCTCTCTCTCTCTCTCTCTCTCTCTCTCTCTCTCTCTCTCTCTCTCTCTTTCTCTCTCTGTCTCTCTCTCTCTCTGTCTCTCTCTCTCTCTCTCTCTCTCTCTCTCTCTCTCTCTCTCTCTCTCTCTCGCTCTCGCTCTCGCTCTTGCTCTCTCTCTCGCTCTCTCTCTCTCCCCAGTTTGTGTGGCCCGGTTCCAGTGCTGTGACATCAACACCACAATGGGTTTGGGTCAGATGTGGTGGAGGACAAGGAAGACGTGCTACCAGATTGTGGAGCATAGCTGGTTTGAGTCTTTCATCATCTTCATGATCCTCCTCAGCTCAGGAGCTCTGGTCAGAATGAATCTTTATTTCTCTCTTTCTTTCTTTAATTATTACGTAATTCAAAAATTTACTCACTATTGTTATCCCCCGCCCCAAATGTGTTACTGGCTATTTTGACATTGTTATTAATGACACAAATGTATTCCTTTCTTTTTCCATTTGTCGTTATACATCATATAAATTTAAATTTCATTATCTGGACATGAGTAATGCAGGAACTGCTCCATAAATACAACAGAACCTCCACTAACCTCTGACCACCCCCTTCAGGCCTTCGAGGACATCTACATCGAGCAGAAGAGGGTTGTTAAGGTGGTGCTCGAGTTTGCAGACAAGATCTTCACCTACATCTTCATCCTAGAGATGTTACTCAAGTGGCTCGCCTACGGCTTCAAGAAGTACTTCACGAACTATTGGTGCTGGCTCGACTTTCTCATTGTTGATGTGAGTTCTCATCAGCTGCTCTGATTGGCTATTACAGTCATCTGAGGATGATGATTGGGATGATGATGATGATGGTGAGTAGAATGATGATGATGATGGTGAGACGGTGGTAACGGTGATGATGATGCTGGTGATGATGGTGGTAATAGTGATGATGATGGTGAGTAGAATGGTGATGATGGTGATGATGAAGATGACAATTGTGATGATGATGATGGTGATGATAATGGTGAGGATGATGGTGATGACAGTGGTAATGTGATGATGATAGTGATGATGGTGGTGATGATGATGGTGATGATGTTGGTGATGGTGATGGTGATGGTGATGATGATGGTGATGACAGTGGTAATGTGATGATGATAGTGATGATGGTGGTGATAGTGATGGTGATGGTGATGATAATGATGAGGATGATGGTGATGACAGTGGTAATGTGATGATGATAGTGATGATGGTGGTGATGATGGTGATGATGGTGATGATGATGATGTTGAGTAGAATGGTGATGATAATGGTGATGATGATGGTAATAGTGATGATGGTAAGGATGGTGAGTAGAATGGTGATGATGATGGTGATGATGAAGATGATAATTGTGATGATGGTGGTGATGATGATGACGATGGTGATGATGGTGGTGATGGTGATGACGGTGGTAATGATGATGATGATGATGATGATGACCGTGGTAATGGTGATGATGGTGATGATGATGGTGATAATGATGATGTTGAGTAGAATGGTGATGATAATGGTGATGATGATGGTAATAGTGATGATGGTAATGATGGTGAGTAGAATGGTGATGATGATGGTGATGATGAAGATGATAATTGTGATGATGATGATGATGGTGGTGATGATAATGGTGAGGATAGGGCTGCTCAATTAATCGAATTTTAATCACGATTATGATCTGAGTTTTGAACGATTATAAAAAACATAACAAGCCGATTATTTGCTCCTCCCGCTTGCGCTGCCCTAAGTTGCAAATGAAGCGCTCCTCCACAGTGTTGCCAACTTAGTGACTTTGACGCTATTTCTTGAAGCTTTTCAGTCCCCCTTCTTGACTTTTTAAATCTTAAAAGTACCTAGCGAACACCTCAGAAACATCTCTGGTAACCCTTAGCTACTTTCTGGATAACTGTCGTCGACGTTTCCTGCAGGTTAGCTAAACACTCCGCCTGCGCTCCGGACCGTTCTTCAGGACATTAGGAAAGGGAATGATGTAGCGATGTCGGTCGCTAAAAAAACAGCTCTCGGAGCCGGCTCCTTGTTGGAGTAACCAGAGTGAGTGACACACACCGCACCTGCGGGCTCCTGAGCCGCTAAAAACGGCTAAATGTGCGCGTGCGGCACGCTAAACACACATGCAGCTTGCCCGATTGCTGTGAGACCGGGTTGGGGGGTGGGGGGTGCAGCTGTGGTCAGGACAATTATTACATTAACTGATGGACGACTTGTAAATAAATAGTTTATAAATAAGGTAGAAATAAGTTCCTCACGCTGATAAATAATAACTAATCTCTCTGAGGACGCGGTGCTAGTGCACTCTCCTACAGAACCTTGACACGACTAAATAAATGTTATGCAACATTTTGTGAACATCAATTTATTTGCATGTATTTGTTATAAATGCCACTGTATAATTCTTGCTGTCAGTATTTGCCAGATATTGGTATTTGGTTCTGTACTGGTTAGACTTACATGAGTTAAATCAAGGTCTATAGCCCTTGGGTCATAGACTATGAGCTATAAGTATATTGTTCTTTTTATACTGGGGATCAGGAGTTCTTTTAGTGATCATCTTGTTTCTTATTTTTGTCCTAATTGTGCCCTGAGCAGTTTTATGACTGAATAAAAACAAATAAAATCAACATAAATTCAAAAATCGTCCTAAATAATCGTGATCTCAATTTCAGTCACCATAATCGTGATTATTATTTTTGCCATAATCGAGAAGCCCTAGGTGAGGATGATGGTGATGACAGTGGTAATGGTGATGATGATAGTGATGATAGTGGTGATGGTGATGATGATGGTGATGACGGTGGTAATGATGATGATGATGATGATGATGATAATGATGACTGTGGTAATGGTGATGATAATGGTGATAATTTTGATGATGATGATGTTAAGTAAAATGGTGATGATAATGGTGATAATGATGATGGTGATGATGAGTAGAATGGTGATGCTGATAATGGTGATGATGACAATTGTGATAATGATGATGATGATGGTGAGTAGAATGGTGATGATGATGGTGATGACGGTGGTAATGATGATGATGATGGTGAGTAGAATGGTGATGATAATAGTGATGATGATGTGATGACGGTGGTAATGATGGTGATGATGATGATGATGATGATGATGGTTATGATGATGGTGATGACGGTGGTAATAGTTATGATGATAGTGATGATGATAATGGTGATGATGATAGTGATGATGGTGATGATGATGGTGGTGATGATGATGATGATAATGATGATTATAATGATGACTGTGGTAATGGTGATGATGATGATGGTGATGATGAAGATGATGATTGTGGTGATGATGATGGTGGTAATGGTGACGATTGTGATGGTGATGATGATGATGTTAAGTAAAATGGTGATGATAATGGTGATAATGATGATGGTGATGATGATGATGATCATGGTAATGGTGATGATGAGTAGAATGGTGATGCTGATAATGGTGATGATGACAATTGTGATGATGATGATGGTGATGATGGTGATGGTGATGATGATGATGGTTGAGTAGAATAGTGATAATAATGGTGATGATGATAATGGTGGTGACGATGGTGATGACAGTGGTAATGATGATGATGATGATGATGATGATGATGATGATAATGATGATGGTGTATAGAATGGTGATGGTGAGGTTCATGAAGATGATGATGATTGTGATGATGATGATGATTGTGATGATAGTGATTATAATGGCGATAATAATGGTAATGATGATGAATGTGATGATGGTGATGATTGTGATGATGGCGATGATAATGATGATGATATTGGTGATGAATATGGTGATGACAGTGGTAATGGTGATGGTGATGATGGCGATGATGATGATGATGATGATGAGTAGAATGGTGATGATAATGGTGATGAGATAATGGTGATGGTGATGATGATGATATTGGTGATGAAGATGGTGATGACGGTAATGGTGATGATTATAATGGTGATGATGATGATGATGGTGATGATGGTGGTGATGATGATGATGGTGATGACAATGGTGATGATGATGATGGTGATTACAGTGGTAATGCTGATGATGGTAATGGTGATGATGAGGATGATGAGTAGAATGGTGATGATGAGTATGATGTTTTTGATGCTGATGATGCTGATGATGATGATTGTGATATGATGATGATGATGATGATGACGGTAATGGTGATGATGTTAATGCTTATGATGATGATGATGGTGATGATAATAGTAATGATGATAATGGTGATGAAGATGGTAATGACGTGGTAAGGGTGATGATGATGATGATGATGGTGATGATGATGGTGATGAAGATGGTGATGACGGTGGTAATGATAATGGTGATGATGATGGTGGTGGTGGTAAGTCGAATGCTGCTGCTGCTGCTGCTGATGACGGTGATGACCGTGGTAATGCTGATGATGACGATGGTGATGATGGTGATGATGATGGTGATGATGATGATGATGATGATGGTGATGACCGTGGTAATGCTGATGATGATGATGGTGATGATGAGGATGATGAGTAGAATGGTGATGATGAGGATGATGTTTTTGATGATGATGATGATGATGATGATGATGATGATGGTGGTGATGATGATGATGGTGATGACGATGGTGATGATGAGGATGATGTTTTTGATGATGATGATGATGGTGGTGATGATGATGATGATGGTGATGACGATGGTGATGATGATGATGGTGATGATAATGGTGATGCTGATGATGACGATGGTGATGATGATGGTGATGATAATGGTGATGATGATGATGATGATAATGGTGATGATGGTGATGATGATGGTGATGATAATGATGATAATGGTGATGATGGTGATTATGATGGTGATGATAATGGTGATGCTGATGATGATAATGGTAATGCTGATGATGACGATGGTGATGATGATGGTGATGATAATGGTGATGCTGATGATGACGATGGTGATGATGATGATGATGATAATGGTGATGATGGTGATGATGATGGTGATGATAATGATGATAATGGTGATGAAGGTGATGATGATGGTGATGATAATGATGATAATGGTCATGAAGGTGATGATGAAGGTGATGATGATGATGATGATGATAATGGTGATGATGGTGATGATGATGATGATGATAATGGTGATGATGGTGATGATGATGGTGATGATAATGATGATAATGGTGATGAAGGTGATGATGATGGTGATGATAATGATGATAATGGTGATGAAGGTGATGATGATGGTGATGATAATGGTGATGCTGCTGATGATAATGGTAATGCTGATGATGACGATGGTGATGATGATGGTGATGATGGTGATGATGATGGTGATGATAATGATGATAATGGTGATGAAGGTGATGATGATGGTGATGATAATGATGATAATGGTGATGAAGGTGATGATGATGGTGATGCTGATGATGATAATGGTAATGCTGATGATGACGATGGTGATGATGATGGTGATGATAATGGTGATGCTGATGATGATAATGGTAATGCTGATGATGACGATGGTGATGATGATGGTGATGATAATGGTGATGATGATGATAATGGTAATGCTGATGATGACGATGGTGATGATGATGGTGATGATAATAGTGATGGTGATGATGATGATTATGATAATGGTAATGCTGATGATGACGATGGTGATGATGATGGTGATGATAATGGTGATGATGATGATGATGATGATGATGATAATGGTAATGCTGATGATGACGATGGTGATGATAATGATGATAATGGTGATGAAGGTGATGATGATGGTGATGCTGATGATGATAATGGTAATGCTGATGATGACGATGGTGATGATGATGGTGATGATAATGGTGATGGTGATGATGATGATGATAATGGTAATGCTGATGATGACGATGGTGATGATGATGGTGATGATAATGGTGATGGTGATGATGATGATGATGATGATAATGGTAATGCTGATGATGACGATGGTGATGATGATGGTGATGATGGTGATGATGATGGTGATGATAATGATGATAATGGTGATGAAGGTGATGATGATGGTGATGATAATGATGATAATGGTGATGAAGGTGATGATGATGATGATGATAATGGTAATGCTGATGATGACGATGGTGATGATGATGGTGATGATAATGGTGATGCTGATGATGATAATGGTAATGCTGATGATGACGATGGTGATGATGATGGTGATGATAATAGTGATGGTGATGATGATGATGATGATAATGGTAATGCTGATGATGACGATGGTGATGATGATGGTGATGATAATGGTGATGATGATGATGATGATGATGATAATGGTAATGCTGATGATGACGATGGTGATGATAATGATGATAATGTTGATGAAGGTGATGATGATGGTGATGCTGATGATGATAATGGTAATGCTGATGATGACGATGGTGATGATGATGGTGATGATAATGGTGATGGTGATGATGATGATGATGATAATGGTAATGCTGATGATGACGATGGTGATGATGATAGTGATGATAATGGTGATGGTGATGATGATGATGATGATAATGGTAATGCTGATGATGACGATGGTGATGATGATAGTGATGATAATGGTGATGCTGATGATGAGGATGATGAGTAGAATGGTGGTGATGATGATGATGATGGTGATGACCGTGGTAATGCTGATGATGACGATGGTGATGATGATGGTGATGGTGACGATGGTGATGATGATGGTGATGATAATGGTGATGGTGATGATGATGATGATGATAATGGTAATGCTGATGATGACGATGGTGATGATGATGGTGATGATAATGGTGATGGTGATGATGATGATGATAATGGTAATGCTGATGATGACGATGGTGATGATGATGGTGATGATAATGGTGATGGTGATGATGATGATGATGATAATGGTAATGCTGATGATGACGATGGTGATGATGATGGTGATGATAATGGTGATGGTGATGATGATGATGATGATAATGGTAATGCTGATGATGACGATGGTGATGATGATAGTGATGATAATGGTGATGCTGATGATGAGGATGATGAGTAGAATGGTGGTGATGATGATGATGATGGTGATGACCGTGGTAATGCTGATGATGACGATGGTGATGGTGATGGTGACGATGGTGATGATGATGGTGATGATGATGGTGATGGTGATGATGATGGTGATGGTGACGATGGTGATGATGAATTTTTTTCCAGACTTTTAACATCTTTTTTTACCAGCAGGAACTCACACAGGAAACTTGGTGTTAAAAATATTTTAGAATGAGAACTTTTATCATTCCACCTTAAAAATGTCATTATACATTACACAGTGAGGGCTGCACGGTGGTGCAGTGGTTAGAGCTGTTGCCTTGCAGCAAGAAGGTCCTGGGTTCGATTCCCGGCCTGGGATCTTTCTGCATGGAGTTTGCATGTTCTCCCTGTGCATGCGTGGGTTCTCTCTTGGTTCTCCGGCTTCCTCCCACAGTCCAAAAACATGACTGTTAGGTTGATTGGTCTGTCTAAATTGTCCTTTGGAGTGTGTGTGTGTGTGTTGCCCTGCGATGGACTGGCTCTCTGTCCAGGGTGTACCCCGCCTGATTTCTTGTTGACTGCTGGAGATAGGCACCTGCCCCCCCCCCCCCCCCCCCCCGCGACCCTACATGGACAAAGCGGGTTCAGACAATGGATGGATGGATGATTTCACCACGTTTAGCTTGTATTTTATTGAAGTATCTTCAGCTTTATTCATTTGTGAGAACTGTTGTTTTGCATTGTTTGGAAAAAGAATCACAACAACAAAAACTTGAAAGGTTTTGGATTAAAGAACGTTCACGTTCTACGGCCGTAGCTCTTCTGTGCTTTTATTGTGAAAAAGTGGCACACGGCCGACTCTGCTCTACTCTGTCATCTTCTACAAGGACTCGGAATGTTTAGACGGAGGGCGACGGTGGCACGGGAGCTAAGTGCTCGCCCGTAATTGGAAGGTTGCAGGTTCGAGCCCCGCTTAGTCTGTCGCTGCTGCGGTGTCCTTGGGGAAGACGCCTAACCCACCTCCGGTGGTCAGAGCTTGGCAGCCTCGCCTGGCAGACCACCCCAGGGCAGCTGTGGCTACATTGTAGCTCATCCCCAGCAGGGTGTGAATGGGTGAACGACTGATTGTGTTGTGAAGCGCTTTGGGGGGCGATTTCAAATACAGGTCATTTACTACAGATGGTCTAGAGGTGCAGGTCTGGGCTGGAAGAGTCTGAAGAGACGTGGAATGACTCAGACCAGTACCAGTACGTTACCCGTGTCACCTGTGGTGTGTGGGCGTTCTCCTCCAGCAGCTGATGTCACCTGTGCTACTTGTAGATCTCAGTGTTGGGTCAGCTGGCTCACTTCCTCCCGGTGAACCAGGTCACCGCCATGCGGGTGCTGAGGACGCTCAGGGCTCTCCGTCCTCTCCGGGCCGCGTCCCGCTTCGCTGGTATCAGGGTAAGAACCAGCCGACCCACCTGAGGCCTGCTGCTGTTCTATTGGGTTTAGAAGGCTTGGAGATGCTGTGGTTCCTGGCTTTGACCCAAGGAAACCAATCCGTGTTTTTCAGGGACCAAAACAGATCCGATTTAATGGATTTATGTTGAAATTCTACAACTCTTCATCTTTTCAAAGCCAGAAATCACCCAGGCTCGCCGGCTTCTGAGGTTCGGTTCCATCCTTATTGGTGGTTTTTATTTTAAGGAAATGAATGTCATCTTTTCCTGAATCCAGGTTATATTCCCACTAATATGAAGCCAGTTTAGTTCCACAGGTCAGAACGTGGACACTAACGGAACGTCTCTCCTCCCCAGCAGGAAGATGCCATCAGCTGGTCACCCTCCTCTTCTCTGTCTTCACTAGAATAGAAGTTAATCACCCTCCTTTTCTTTTTCTCTTCCTCCTCGTCTTTCCATCCTTTCCTCCCTCCTCCTCCCCCTCCTCCAGGTTTCATTGATCAGTTTGGTGGCCAACACGTTGGGTTACTCCGACTTAGCCGCCATCAAATCCCTGCGAACGCTGCGGGCGCTGCGGCCCCTCAGAGCCCTCTCCAGGTTTGAAGGAATGAGGGTAAGAGTCAGTATTAAAGCGTCTGAGCACCTTAAACACACTTCCTGTTTCCCTTTCATTTCAAACAGAAACATTCAAGTAGTTCATTAACTTTGTTTGAAGCGAACATAACCGCATCAGAGCTCTCAGGAGCTTTTTAGTCCTTTAGGATTCTAAAACTGTCCAGAGGAGACGATGAAGACTCAGACACTCTAAAGACCTGCGGCCTCATTTATCAAGCTAGCTTACGCACAAAACGGGGTCGGAAAACTGCGTAAGCAACTTTCCACGCAAACGTTGGGATTTATGAAAGAAAACGTAGCGGAAAATGTGCGTAACTTTAAGTTGACTAAGGACCTGGCTTACACACATGCTGGACATGGAGAGCACCTGCAGTGCTGCTGCTGCTGAGAAGATACAATTATGAAATCCTGCAGCATTATCACTTGTACCGCTTCGTTTTCACACAGAACAAGACCCCTCACACGCGTGTGCACACACACGCACACACACGCACACAGAATACAGAATGCCGAACATCAGCAGGGGGACAGATTGAGACAGAACATCGTGCGTCTGTGACAGTGTGTGTCCTGTCACTGTGACCTGATTGATCATGTGACCTGGCTACTTGTACAGGGAAGATCTCTGTTTGGGTGACTGGTTAGCGTGCGTGATTTTCACCCGGGAGTCTGGGGAGCGAATCCCGTTCGGATCATTTTTTTACATCCGCCACAGATCTCTCTGAAGAAGTCAGCATTGACGGCTTCAGCAACGCTGTACCACTCCGTGGATTTTCTCTTATTTGTTTTGCAAAAGCACTTCCTGTCATTTCTCCACCTCACCCACAGGTACCCCATCTTCTGCTTGTGAAATAGTGCTTCCTTGATCTGTCTTGATCTATGGTCACCATGTCATTGGTGGAGCGCTGCAACAGCCGGCTTATGTATATGCATGAGATCCACAAGGCACTTTGCATTGACCATTTATGGCAGTAAGTGGGCGTGGTGAGGGCAGGATGTGACTAAAATGCAGCTGAGAACCTTTCAAGATAGTCTCTGATTTATGAAGCGGAGATTGCGTGCAGCTGTGCGTCCTCCATGTTTGATAGATCACACACCTGCTTAGCGTAAGAACATTTTTTTGCTGAGCTTAAGTACGGTTTTAGTAAGGATTCTACGCCATGTTTGATAAATGAGACCCCAGGTTTATTCTGCTCTAATCAACCGTAACGTCATGACCTTCCAATCAGCTGCTCCACATGGATCTCACTTTGGAGAGTTCCCAGAACCTCCCCAAACATTCTCTGGGGTTCTCCTGGGTTTTCGGGGTTCTTGCTGTTCTCTCGCTGGAACTTTGGTTGTTCAAAAGAACCTCTTTGCTCTGAAACTAGAGTCTGAGTGATGGTGGGAAGCTGGAACCCACGTCAGCAGGAGGAAGGTGGGATAGGCGTGGTTTCTCCTGCAGCAGCAACGATTCCCATGAACACACCTGAAAGTCCGACCTCATTTACGTTTCAGTTTTGGGCTCAGACCTTATTTTCTTAAAAGGTCGCCTGTTGACATTACGGTGGCCCAGAAGGGACAAACCGGTGTGGTTTGAAGTGAGACGGTTCTCTGCTGTTCCTCTTTAGATGTTTAACATAACAGAAGACATTAGAGGAGAACGCAAACGTAAGCAGAGCACTTTATGACAACATGAATCAGCTGATCAGAAACTCAAACTACCTTGTATGACATCACGTTTTCCTCCATAAACCCAAAACGAAGCATCCTGAAGGGGAACTGACCTGTAATCAGCTCCCCTTCATTTAACCCAGGGGTTTCAGTTTAGAGGAAAAAACATGTAAATGCAGATAAAAGAGCAGAAAGGAAAAAGGTTTGAATTCAGACTCAGATCAGCCGAAGGAAACTTGTTTGGTGTGTTCTTACTGTGTCTACTTTCTAATTCCATTTTTGGTTCTTTGTAAACACAGGAAAGGTTTTTTTTGACCTTGCTGACGTTTCGTTTGCCGGCTGCAAACATCCTCAGAGCTGATGCTGATGGTGGCGTCACTTCCTACTCCGTTTATCCGCGGGCAGCAGTAAATGTGGAGTCGTTTACGAAATCCCATGCAAACTCTGCAATAAAACATACGTAGGAGAAACCGGACGCCAACTCAACACACGAACAATAGAACATAGAACGGAGTGCGAGAGAGAGGCAAGCAGAAAACACACAAGAGCAGCAAAACAAGAACCCTAACCCTAACAGATCACTGCACACGGGAAAACCATGTAATGGACTGGGACGACACACGGATCATAAACACCGAACAACAGAAATACAAAAGATGGATAAAAGAAGCTATGGAGATAAGGAGACGTGGATGTGGGACCATGAACAGGGACGATGGAGTTTACACGCTGGACCACGCATGGGACTGCATCGTCGGAGAGGGGAGAGCGGGCAGCAGAGGGCGACAACGTCCTCTGCTGCCCGCGGATAAACGGAGAAGGAAGTGACGCCACCATCAGCGTCAGCCTGAGGAAGTCTGCAGCCGCAAACGAAACATCAGCAAGGTAAATAAAACCTTTCTGTGTTTTAAAAAGAACCATAAATGGAATAGAAGGAAACTTGGATCTCTCCTCTAAATCCTGGTGCTCAGGTGTGTTTCACCTGGAACTTCCTCCACCTGGTCTCTTTCTTCTTCATCACTTCCTGTTCCTGTCCCCTCTAATTTCCTGTTGGTCCTGCTCCTCCATGTCACACTCCTGTCAGTATTAAGTAAAAACGAATACATCAGTATTACTGAGGCAGAACCGGGTCAGAGTTCTGCAGAACACTCATCTGGAGCTGCTGTTCCAGATGTGAAGCAGCAGGTTTCTGTGTGACGCTCTCCAGCAGACGGAGCACCAGCAGCTGCTGCTGGTCACAAGATACTGTCCAGATAAAAAAAATCACTACTTTACACCTGTCAGAGAAAAACATTCAAAAACGATCAGATTTGATTTGACTGGTTCGTTCAAACTTTACATCATTAAAATAAATTATTTTTGGTTGAAAATTGGTGATTTAAATAAAAACACTGAATGTTTTTGCTGTTTTCCCTCCAGAACAGTAAAATCTAAGATTTCTGCAGAACTCTGACTGGTTCCTCCTCCTCTGGCTAATGGTGTTAGCATGTAGCTCGTTCTGCTGCTAGTTAGCCGTTAGCTGACTCAGGTCTTCACAGCAGAACTCAACACCACACCGAGGAGTCATATCTGGTCTTACTGTTAAACACCAAGAGCAGGGTTCTCCTCAGGGGTTTGGGTTCTGTGGTGGACGTGTGAAGGTTCAACTGTAGGAGCTGCAGCAGTCCAGTGAAAACATGAGTCATGCAGTCACGAACATGCAGGTTCAGGCTGAGTTCTGATGGTCAGGTGGAAACGTAGTGATGACATCACCCATGAAATCTGACCGTTTAGTGATGTCCTAATGATGTTAAGTCTTCATGTACGTGAACATCCTGCTACTGAAGGACTAACATGGTCTTATTAGTTGGTTAAAGTTTCTGGGGCAGCTTTAGGTTAACATCACACTCACGTTTTCATGTGTGAGGACAGTGACATCATAAGGTGGCAGGTAAACATCAGAACACCTGTCCTTGCATCTCATAGACGTGAATCCTGAAAGAATTCATGAGAACATGTCTAGATGTTTGATCTGACCATCAGAAAACTCAACCGGCTTTGGTAGAACATCTGACAAGTGCCAGTAACACGTTCGTCTGTTTATGTAGAACGTTAGAGATTTTTCTCTAGAACATTAGAGATGTTCCTGCAGAACATTAGAGATGTTTATGTAGAACAATAGAGGTGTTCCTGCAGAACATTGGAGATATTCCTGTAGAACATTAGAGATGTTTATGTAGAACAATAGAGATGTTCCTGCAGAACATTAGAGATATTCCTGAAGAACATTAGAGATATTCTTGTAGAACATCAGAGATGTTTATGTAGAACAATAGAGATGTTCCTGCAGAACATTAGAGATATTCCTGAAGAACATTAGAGATGTTCCTGCAGAACAATAGAGATGTTCCTGCAGAACATTAGAGATGTTTATGTAGAACAATAGAGGTGTTCCTGCAGAACATTGGAGATATTCCTGTAGAACATTAGAGATGTTTATGTAGAACAATAGAGATGTTCCTGCAGAACATTAGAGATATTCCTGAAGAACATTAGAGATATTCCTGAAGAACATTAGAGATATTCTTGTAGAACATCAGAGATGTTTATGTAGAACAATAGAGATGTTCCTGCAGAACATTAGAGATATTCCTGAAGAACATTAGAGATGTTCCTGCAGAACAATAGAGATGTTCCTGCAGAACATTAGAGATGTTTATGTAGAACAATAGAGATGTTCCTGCAGAACATTAGAGATATTCCTGAAGAACATTAGAGATATTCCTGTAGAACATTAGAGATGTTTATGTAGAACAATAGAGATGTTCCTGCAGAACGTTAGAGGTGTTCCTGCAGAACATTAGAGATGTTTATGTAGAACAATAGAGATGTTCCTGCAGAACATTAGAGGTGTTTATGTAGAACAATAGAGATGTTCCTGCAGAACATTAGAGATGTTTCTGTAGAACATTAGAGATGTTTATGTAGAACAATAGAGATGTTCCTGCAGAACATTAGAGGTGTTCCTGCACAACATTAGAGATATTCCTGTAGAACATTAGAGATGTTCCTGCAGAGCATTAGAGATATTCTTGTAGAACATTAGAGATGTTCCTGCAGAACTTTAGAGATGTTCCTGCAAAACGTTAGAGATATTCCTGAAGAACATTAGAGGTGTTTATGTAGAACAATAGAGATGTTCCTGCAGAACATTAGAGGTGTTTATGTAGAACAATAGAGATGTTCTGCAGAACATTAGAGGTGTTCCTGCGGAACATTAGAGATATTCCTGTAGAACATTAGAGATGTTTATGTAGAACAATAGAGATGTAACTGCAGAACATTAGAGGTGTTCCTGCAGAACATTAGAGGTGTTCCTGCAGAACATTAGAGGTGTTCCTGCAGAACATTAGAGATATTCCTGTAGAACATTAGAGATGTTTATGTAGAACATTAGAGATGTTCCGGCAGAACATTAGAGGTGTTCCTGCAGAACATTAGAGATATTCCTGTAGAACATTAGAGATATTCCTGTAGAACATTAGAGATGTTCCTGCAGAACATTCGAGATGTTCCTGTAGAACATTAGAAATGTTCCTGCAGATTTTTAGAGATGTTCCTGCAAAACGTTAGAGATGTTCCTGTTGAACATTAGAGATGTCCCTGTAGAACGTTCGAGATGTTCCTGTAGAACATTAGAGATGTTTATGTAGAACAATAGAGATGTTCCTGCTGAACATTAGAGGTGTTCCTGCAGAACATTAGAGATATTCCTGTAGAACATTAGAGATATTCCTGCAGAACATTAGAGATGTTCCTGTAGAACGTTAGAGATGTTCCTGCAGAACATTAGTGATGTTCCTGCAAAACGTTAGAGATGTTCCTGCAGAACATTAGTGATGTTCCTGCAAAACGTTAGAGATGTTCCTGCAGAACATTAGGGATATGCCTGCAGAACGTTAGAGATGTTCCTGCAGAGCATTAGATATGTTCCTGTAGAACATTAGAGATGTTCCTGTAGAACATTAGAGATGTTCCTGCAGAACATTCGAGATGTTCCTGTAGAACATTAGAAATGTTCCTGCAGATTTTTAGAGATGTTCCTGCAAAACGTTAGAGATGTTCCTGTTGAACATTAGAGATGTCCCTGTAGAACGTTCGAGATGTTCCTGTAGAACATTAGAGATGTTTATGTAGAACAATAGAGATGTTCCTGCTGAACATTAGAGGTGTTCCTGCAGAACATTAGAGATATTCCTGTAGAACATTAGAGATATTCCTGTAGAACATTAGAGATATTCCTGCAGAACATTAGAGATGTTCCTGTAGAACGTTAGAGATGTTCCTGCAGAACATTAGTGATGTTCCTGCAAAACGTTAGAGATGTTCCTGCAGAACATTAGGGATATGCCTGCAGAACGTTAGAGATGTTCCTGCAGAACATTAGAGATGTTCCTGTAGAACATTCAAGATATTCCTGCAGAACATTAGAGATGTTCCTGTAGAACATTAGAGATTTTCATGTAGAACATTAGAGATGTTCCTGTAGAACATTAGAGATGTTCCTGTAGAAAATTAGAGATGTTCCTGCAGAACATTAGAGATGTTCCTGTAGAACATTCAAGATATTCCTGCAGAACATTAGAGATGTTCCTGTAGAACGTTAGAGATGTTCCTGTAGAACGTTAGAGATGTTCCTGTAGAACATTAGAGATGTTCCTGTAGAAAATTAGAGATGTTCCTGCAGAACATTAGAGATGTTCCTGTAGAAAATTAGAGATATTCCTGCAGAACATTAGAGATGCTCCTGCAGAACATTAGAGATGTTCCTGTAGAATGTTAGACACGTTCCTTTGGAATGTTTCATCTAGGTGACATGTTTTCTCCTCCTCGGTCATCAGGTGGTGGTGAACGCACTGATTGGAGCGATTCCCTCCATCATGAATGTATTGCTGGTCTGCCTCATCTTCTGGCTCATCTTCAGCATCATGGGGGTCAACCTGTTTGCAGGGAAGTTCGGTCGCTGTGTAAACAGAACTGGTTTTGTCTACGACGCCTCCGTCATCAACAACAAGTCAGAGTGCAACGCCTTCAACGACACCTCCCTCTACTACTGGACCAAGGTCAAGGTCAACTTCGACAACGTTGGTGCCGGTTATCTGTCGCTGCTGCAAGTGGTGAGCTCCTCCTGCAAAGATTTATGTGATTAATAACAAACAATTAGAAGGAATTATTAATTACTGGTCAGTAAAGATACTTGGATTCAATGAAAGTCCACTTCCCCAGGTGTGAATTGCAGGAAAAAAGCGTCTGCACCCTCCGAGGGCCGGAAGAAGAAAAAAACAGTGACGTCAAACTCCTATTTGATGTCACTGTTTGAAGTTCTAGATGATGTTGTTCCTCTCCAGGATTAAAGCCAGGAAAACACCGGGGCTCTTCTCCAGCGATGCTGGGAGTAAGAAAGCCCTCAGGTTGCATGTACTGATGTAATCTACCATCGCTGCAACAATCTTATTTTGACATTTACTGGACATTTTACACAGAAACTTCCTGTCTAGCTCTATGTTAGCTGCAGAAGTTGACATTCACAAAAGCGGCAACAAAAGAACTTAATCCTAAATTTAGAGGTGCAGCGCAGCTTCTGGGAAGCACCTGAAACATTCCACGCCGTGGCTGGTTTAGATCCACCCTATAGACTAAAGCAGTGAAGTTCCTCTGCTGTTGCGTGCCACTGATGCCTCCAGTGTGGATTTGGAGAATGTCCTATTATCTCTGGTCTGACAGAAAGCCTCTCAGCAGTTTTGTTCTTGACCGTTTCAGTAACTTCCAGAATTTGTCGTTTCTGGGCTCAGTCACTTTAAGAAAATGAGCTGTAGCTGGTCACGCCCACCATCTCCTGGTTGGCTTCTATGAGCTAAGAAGCTCTGATATCTGGGAGGTGCTCCGAGAAGAGCCACTGCTTCTCAATCTGTGACAGGTGAGGGTAGGGTGGGGTGGTCAAATGCTGGTTTTCCTCATTGGGACATCACAAATGAGAATCTTTCTGAAACGACTCATTTTGGTCAGATGATTCCTAAAACCGACAGGAAACGGATGCAGCTGTTTTTTGTGTTTGGAGTGTTTCTGGAAGCAGCAGAGACCCACATGGCAGAACAAAAGGATGCTAAAGGGACTTTTAGGTCTGCTATGAATGTGTCACAAACTCCTCCTGCTGACCACTCCCTATGGACCAAACTGGCAGGCTACTACACTTCCCAGCATTCCCATCACCAGCGTGGCTTGTCAACGTCATCACGCCGATACTATTTACGGAAGCACCGCCACTCATTCATCACTCAGTCATCATTCCTACCAGACATTGTACCGAGTTCTCAGGCTTACCAGCCCTCAAACCAGGAAAGGGATCTTTCCACGCTGTCTACTACCAGTAAGTCATCTTCCTTATCTATTCGGAACTGCTGCTCGGTCTCGGCTCTCTCCGAGCGCTGCGCCGCCGTTCCCAGAACAAAGCCGCATGCTCTGTTTAAACCCAACGCTAGCCACTCCGCGTCTGGGTCACGCAGTTACGCTACAAACAACCTCTGCTACGCTTCAGCTCAGCCACTCAAACCTGACAGGATGACTGAGTCTAAGGTTGACCCAGCGGAGTTCGCTCACCTGCGTGCAGAAGTAGCTCAACTTCGCATAACTGTAGATCGACAGACTGCAAACATGAACCAGCTTCGTGCCGCAGCAGATCGCCAAGCCTCTAAGCTCGAGTCTCTTAGCGAGCTAGTTGTCCAGCTTTCCACTGCCCTGCAACGACAGACCTCAGCCGTCACCGACAACATGGAACCACGTCTCAGCCTCCCAGAGAAGTGGGATGGGACCAGGGGGTCCCCGGAAGGCATGCTGGCTATCCTAGCAATGACTTTTGCGTGCCAGCCGGCGCGCTACCCCACGTCCTGTTCTCGCGTCGCCCTGCTGACCTCCCTGCTGACGGGTCGGGCCGGCGAATGGGCGGCGGCTGTGTACAACCAGAAGTCTCCTGTCTGCAACAGTTACGAGACCTTTGTGAAGGAGATGAAGAAGGCGTTCATTCATCCCAGCAGCAAGGTCGCGGATGAGACCCGACTACTTCAACTTCGTCAGGGCTCCCAAACGGTGGCTCATTACACCTCCCGCTTCTGGACTACGGCCGCTCGGTTGACTTGGGATGACGCCGCCCTGAAGGCCGTTTACCTGGAGGGGTTGTCCCCCCGAATCCGTGAGGGCATGATCGGACATGAGGCCCCAACCTCCTTGGACCTGGCCCTCCAATTGGACCGCTGCATCCTGAACCGACCAAGCACCATGTTGGCTCCCGCCCACACCAGAACGTCACCCCGTCGTCAGGGCAACCAACCGATGGAGGAACTCATGCAGCTGGGACATCTTCCCCCTGAGGAACGGGCGCGGCGTTATCAGGAAGGACAATGCGCCTACTGTGGGGATTTGGGCCACCACCGTGGTACGTGCCCGAAACGACCGGGAAATGGTCCCTCCGGGTCGGAGTAGGGGCTGTCCCGCCCGGAGTCTCCACTTTTCCAGTCCCACATCGCACCACTCTCCCAGTCTCCCTCCACCTGGACCAAGGCCCAACCCGACTGGAGGCTCTCCTAGACACCGGCGCCGCCGAATGTTTTATCGACCAGGGACTGGTCACCCAGCTCAAGATACCCCTTACCGCTCTCAACCGACCCATTCCTGTCACATCTGTGGACGGCCGCCCACCCAAGCCGTACCCTCTCACCCACCGAACCCAGGACCTCCACATGACCATCAACCAACACCTGGAGACCCTTCACTTCCTGGTCATTCAGGCCCTGGCTACTCCTCTCATCCTGGGTCACTCCTGGTTCTGCCGCCATGAGCCTCACATATCCTGGTCCACCAGTAAGGTCATGGCCTGGGGCGCAGGTTGCCAGACCCACTGTAGTTCCCCTACACCCTGGACTAGATCAACACCTCCCAGGGATGTAGACCTGACACTCATTCCTACACAATACCACGACCTCGCTCAGATCTTTGCCAAGGATCCCACTACCAGGTTACCTCCTCATCGGCCTTATGATCTGGAGATCCGGCTCCAGCCCGGTACCACCCCGCCCCGGGGTCGCCTGTACTCTCTCTCTCCGGCGGAGACCCGGGCAATGGACTCCTACATAACCGAGGCCCTCCAGAAGGGGTTCATCCACCACTCAACATCCCCCGGTGCCGCAGGATTTTTTTTGTGAAGAAGAAGGAGGGGGATCTCCGGCCCTGTATCGACTAGCGAGGGTTGAACAAGATAACGATCCGGGATCGTCACCCTCTTCCTCTCGTGGGTACCGCTCTGGACACCATCACCCAAGCTGCCCTATTCACCAAACTGGATCTGCGCAGTGCTTATAACCTGATCCGCATCAAGGAGGGGGAGGAGTGGAAGCCCGCCTTCATCACACCAACCAGCCACTATGAGTACCTGAATATGCCTTTTGGTTTCTGCAATAGCCCCGCGGTTTTCCAACGATTCATCACAGATGTACTAAGAGACATGTTGGGCCGCTGGGTTTTTGTACATCTGGATGACATACTCATATACTCTCGCACGGCCGAAGAACACATCCGGCATGTTCAGGCCGTTCTGTCCCGCCTCCTGGACCACAATCTATACTGCAAACTGGAGAAGTGTGCGTTTCACCAGGAGTCCACCTCCTTCCTGGGTTTCGCCATCTCCTCCCGGGGCCTGAGGATGGATCCTCAAAAGGTTCAGGCAGTAGCACAGTGTCCGCTACCCACGACCCTGAAACAGGTGCAAAGCTTTCTGGGCTTCTCAAACTTCTACCGCAGGTTCATATGCAACTTCAGTTCCCTCGCAGCACCTCTGACCTCCCTCACCAAAGCTACCAACCAGCCTCGCCCTTTCCGTCTTACCCCGGAGGCTACCCATGCCTTCCATGATCTGGTCCGGCGCTTTGTTAGTGAACCCATCCTCCTCCACCCGGACCTGACCCGGCCCTTCGTCATGGAGGTGGACGCCTCTGATGTGGGAGCGGGGGCCGTTCTCTTGCAACGGGGCCCGGACTCTAAGCTCCACCCCTGCGCTTACTTTTCCCGGAAGTTCTCCCCTACACAGCAGAACTATTGGGTCAGCGACCGAGAACTGCTGGCGATAAAATGGGCCCTGGAGGAGTGGCGGCAGTGGCTCTTGGGTACCACCGACCCTTTCCTGATCTGGACCGACCATCAGAACCCAATACACATTCAGACTGCCCGTCAACTCAATCCTCGCCAGGCTTGGTGGGCCCTCTTTTTCGAGCCGTACAATTTCCACATCGCCTACCGACCCGGCTCCAAAAACCTCAAGGCGGACGCTCTCTCTCGGCGTTTCTCACAGGATACAAGCCCTCCGGAGACTCTGACCATCCTGCCGGCTCAACGCTTCTTGGCCTCCCTCCAATGGCCTCTGGAACAATCCATCCGGGCCGCTCTCCCTGCCGATCCAGCACCCCCAGAGACTCCCCCGAACCGCCTCTACGTTCTGACCGCCTGCCGATGGGAGGCACTAATGTCGGGGCATCGTTCGCAGCTCGCTGGACATCAAGGCCAAGCCCGCACCCTCCAGTTCCTCCGTCGGGCTCTCTGGTGGCCTTCTATGAGGAGGGATGTCCACGAGTTCATTGTCGCATGTGATGTATGTGCCCGGTCCAAGTCCTCCAACCAACCTGGCGCCGGGGACTTGCAACCACTCCCCGTGCCCAAGCGGCCGTGGTCGCACATCGGTCTGGATTTTGTCACGGGCCTGCCCGCCGTCGACCACCTGGACACTATACTCACCATCACTGACCGCTTCTCGAAGGCCGTGCACTTAGTGGTCCTGGCCGGCCTCCCCACTGCCAAGAGGACGGCCGAACTGCTCCTTGAACAGGTGGTGCGGCTCCATGGTTTCCCCCAGGACGTGATATCCGTCCGAGGACCTCAGTTCGTCTCACGCTTCTGGAAGACCTTCTGTCGTTTGGTCGGCGCTTCAACCAGTCTGTCCTCTGGGTACCATCCGCAGACCAACAGTCAGACGGAAAGGGCCAACCAGCAGCTTGGTCGTTACTTACGCTGCTTCGCCTCGTCCCAGCCGTCCACCTGGCCCCGCTTCCTCCTGTGGGCGGAACTGTCGCACAAC